TGTATCCATGCAGTCAGACATTATTGTTGGCCAAATTCAGGTAGATCAACTTTGATGCCTAGTTCTTTGTGCCCTCCAAATGATATCTACTCTCTATAATTCTCCCTAGGGAAGGGATTCATATACCCTTCTCTAGGTCTCCTCTCATATTGGGTTACGAAATGTCGTGATCCGTCTTCTTCACCGTTGAAATTCTCTCTATGGAAGGGATTCAGACCTTCTTCTCTTTCTTCCCTTCCACTCTTCAGATCTCGGTCGAGGGTAACCTCCTCTTGAGTCAACTCATCAATCTTTGCAGGCCTCTGTTGAAGGCGACGAACCAATTGACTCTGAAAGAAATGTATCTTCTAGGTGCCATGGTTAGGGATTAAGGATTAGGAAAGAAAAATTTGGTGGGGTTAGGGTTTGGCTTGTGGAAATGATATTGGGTGGTAGGAAATAAAGTATTTAATTTGTGGCAGATACTAGAAAATTCTAAGATAAGACAGGGTTGGACTAATTCTGATACCAAATGATATCATAAATAGTTAGTAAAGGAGGAAAAACAACAGAAACACACGAAACAAACTTTTGTTAATATAGGGGTAGGGTTACAACACCACATAAACTAAAAATAAACCACACAACATAAGATGACAAGAAAAAACACCTCAAAAGTGTATCCCAAATGCGGTGGAGGTTGGAGGGTGGATTTGGTGGCTTGGGACATCAAGGGTGAATGTAGGAGGAGGGCTGACAGGGATTGGAGGGTGAACTGGAGGAGGGAGGCAACAAGTTAGGGTGGCAGGAAGGTCTTTTGGGTGGCTGGGGGTAGGTTGGAAGGTGGGGCATCGAGCTGGGAAGGCGGGACAACAACTGTGAAGGCTCACCAACATTTTAAGAGGGTGGACAACGAGTTGGGAATTGCAGGTAGCAATGGGAAAGGTCGTGGGTGTGGCTGATGTGGGAAAACAACGACCGGAGGAGCTGACAGGAAGTTGATGGCTAGGAGAAGAGGATAAGGATTGGGGAAGGTAAAAGAAAAGGATACAACACAATCTTTGAGTAGGGTACAACCAGAGCACCACCACCTCCTTGGTTACAGTGCTAGAACAGAGAGAACAGCTCCACAAATGAATCTGAAAGCAACGCACAACACAAACTGAAAAACTCTAATTATAACACCCCATATTTATAATGAGGATTATGACTTATTTTAGGCAACATTTAAAATAAGAAAGAAGAATACAAATAATAAGAATTCAGGCTAGGTGAGGACGAATAAACTAATATAAATTCAGATTAGTCAAGGATTAGTAAAATAAATCTGAATTTAGAATTGGTAAGAACTTATAATAGAAAAGTACTGGGAATGAAAGAGTGAGGGGGAGAGAAAGGAAATGGAGTTGTGCAGAGTTGGCAGCCCCTCCCCTCCGGGATCTGTCGGTCCAACAAAATTAGACCAAACTCTCTAGGCCGGTCCTCCATAGCCCAACATCAATCTCTTTCAAATATGTCTTTCATCTTCTCATTAATTAATTCTTATCTTAAAGCCTCAATCACTAATCTGAACGAACTCAAATATGATGAATATATCCAGATCTCCAATAGATTTGTTATCTTTATTTAACTTCGCAAACATGCATGTCATATTTGCAATCAGTCTTGTGCCTTCTATTTTTATATTGGCTTTGGCATGATTAAAATTTGTTTTTTGTTTTCCAGAAAGGTAAGCCCAAAGGACAATATTATGATTTGAACTTGAGACTTCATGGTGGGAAACTACACCCACAACCACCACGTCATCGGTGAGTGCAACTCTTTCAAAAATTGTGATGCATTGTTTAAAAAGTTGAACGATTTACATACATAATACACAATTGCTATATATTTATATGTATTACAAGTAAACATCAGCTTTTACATGTCGCATTCCTATGCATAAAAGTTGTATTGTATTTTTTAAAAGATAAAATATTAGTATTTTTGATGTGATATAAAATATTTGAGTGCTATAAAGGTTAAAAGCAAAATTTAATTAGATATGTCCATAAAGAAGATTTGTTTGATATGTATGTAAATGCCCCTACAAAGTTATGTTATGAATGAGATCATAAATCATTTATAAGGCTTTCATCAAGGAAAATTTATCATATGATTATGCACAAATGAGGAGAGAG